TATATGCAGATGATATGATCCTATACATAGAAAATCCCAGAGTTTCTACAAGAAATATTCTGAAACCTAATAGAATGGTTTAGAAAAGTGGAAGATACAAGATCAACATACTAAATGCAATCATATTCCTCTACACTAATGAAGAAAACTCTGAAAAGGAAATCAGGAAAACAATGCTAATGTTGTTAAGTGCCGTCTAATCGATTCCGACCAATAGCAACCCTGTAGAGGGTTTTCAAGAAGTATGTGAGCTTGAACCACCAACCTTACAGTTCAAACACTTTGTAATCTGATGCATTAGCCTAGACATTAGTGCCACACCAGCACTCCTGACCTACAAATTAACCTAACTAGGGATGTAAAAGATTTATACAAAGAAAACTACAAAATACTACTGAAAAAAACCAAGAGACATACGTAAAGGATGAACATATTATGCTCATGGATAGGTAGATTTAACGTTGTGAATATGTCAACACTATTCAAAGTGACCTATATATATATAATGCAATCCCAGTACAGAATCCATCAGTACTCTTTAAAGAGATGGAGAAATGAATCATCAACTTTATATGGAAAGGAAAGAAACTTGGATACTCAATTACTGAAAAAGAGGCACAAAGTAGGCCTCAACATTTCCCAGTCTCAGAACTTACTATACAGCCATAGTCATCAAAAAAGCTTGAAATTTGTACAATAACAGAATTAAGACCCGAAAGGTAAATGTTGAAGATAAGTGATCTTCAACAAATGGTGGAAACCAATTAAATGAAGAAAACATAGTCTCTTTAACAAATGGTGCTAGCAAACTGGATATCCAGTTGCTGAAAAATGAAACAAGATGCATATCTTGCACTATAAAAAAAAACTAACTCAAGCTAAAACAAAGACAGAAATATAAAACCTAATACTGTAAAGATAATGGAAGAAAAAATGTGGAAAATGGGGGGCCCTACAGCAGTTCAAAATTACCAGCTGTCCCGCAGGAGAAAGATGAGGCTTTCTACTCCCATAAAGATTTACAGCCTCGGAAACCCTGTACAGGGTTGCTATGAGTCAGAACTGACTCCATGGTACTTAACACCACCACCAATTTATGGCATAAATATATTTTATAAATGGCTAACAAAAACTTTACAAACATCAGAAAATTAATTAGATGATTGTTGGCATTTTTGTTAGGTGCTATCAAGTCAGTTTTGGCTCATAGAGTTTCACTGACTATGCACAACAGAAGGAAATATTGCCCCATCCTGCACCACCCTGACAATTACTGTACCTTGTTGCTACCATGGTGCCAATATATCTTTTTGTGGGGGAGGGGGGCTTCCTCTTTTTTACTGACCTTCTACTTTGGGGGGGGGAGGGCTTCCTCTTTTTTACTGACCTTCTACTTTGCCAATCATGATATCCTTCTCCAGGGACTGCTCCTTGGTACTTTCAATACTTTTCTCCAACACCATAACTTAAATTTGTTGATTCTTCTACAATCTTCCTTATACACTGCCCAACTTTCACATGCCTGTGAAAGTGACTGGAAATACCATAGTCTGGCCCAAGTGCACCTTAGTTCTCAAACTGATACCTTTGCTCTTCAACATTTTAAAGTAGTCTTTTGCAACAGATTTTCCTAATGCAATATGTCTTTTGATTCCTTGACTACTGCTTCCATGAGTGTTGTATAGATTCAAACAAAATGAAGTCTTTGACAACTTCTGTATTTTCTCCATTTATCATAATGTTGTTTATTTGTCCAGTTGTGAAGATTTTTGTTCTCTTTACATAGAAGTGCATTATAATGAACACTATAGTCTTTTATTTTCATCAGTAATTATTTCAAGTCCTCTTCAGTTCCAGAAAGCAAGGTTATATCATCTGTGTATAGCAGGTTCTTAATGAGTCTTTATCCAATCCTTATGCCATGAAAGAATACAACCCTGGCACTCACATTTCCTGATTTAAATGATTAAGTACCCCGTTGTTCTGTTGTAATGATTACTTCATTGTCTATGTACTAGTTCCTCATGTGCACAATGATGTATTCTGGAATACCCATTCTTTGCTATGCTGTCTATAGTTTGTCATGATACGCAGAGTTTCAAGACTTTGCAGAGTCAATAAAGCACAGATACACATCTTTCTGGTATTCTCTGCTTCCAGCCAAGATCTATCTGACATCAACAATGATGTTCCTATTCCCACATCTTCTGAATCTGGCTTGAATTTATGGCAGTTGCTTATTAATATACTGTTTAAATCTTTTTTGAATCATCTTCAGCAAAATTTTAATTGTATATGATATTGTTTGATGATTTATACATTCTGTTGGACCACCTCTGCTTGGAATGGATAGAAATATGAATATTTTCCAATCTATTTGCCAGATATCTGTCTTCTAAATTTCTTGGAATAGATGAGTGAGTGCCTCCTGTGTTTCATCAATTTGTTGTAAGATTTCGATTGTATTCCATCAATTACTGGAGCTTTGTTTATTGTTAATGCCTTCATTGCAACTTGGACTTCTTTCTTCAGTACCAATGGTTCTTCATCATATGCTATAGTTTGAAATGGTTGAACACCAATGATTTCTTTTAGGTACACTGATTATGTATATTTTTTCCACCTTTGGTTTATGCTTCCTGCATCAATCACCAATTGCTGTTAAATGTCTTTGAGTTGATTTTGACTCATAGCAACCCAGTATAGGGTTTCTGAGGAGTGGCTGGTAGATTTAAACTGACAACCTTGTGGTTAGCAGTTCAGTGCTTATCCTACAGTGCTTATATCAGAACCCTATATTTCAAGTCAAGGTTTGAATTTTTTCTTCAGTTCTTTCAGCTTGAAAAATGCTGAATGTGTTCTTCTCTTTTGGTTTTCTAACTCTAGGTTTTTACACATCTCATTGGTTCTCTCTTGTCCAACTGCACTTTGACATTTTCTGTTAAGCTCTTTTCCTTCTTTATATCTTCCATTCACTTTAGCTTTAAAGCAAGTTTTGGAGTCTCTTCTGACACCCAGTTTTGTCTTTTCTTTCTTTCCTGTCTTTCTTCCTGGGTCACGTTTTTCATACAATTCCACAGCTCTGGTCTTCAGTCTAATGCTTCAAATCTGTTCTTGAAATAGCCTCTGAATTCAGGTGGAATATATTAAAGGTCATATTTTGTCTCTTGTGGACTTGTTTCAACTTTCTTCAGTTTCAGCCTCAACTTGCATATGAACAATTGATGATCTGTCCCACAGTCAGCCCCTGGCCTTGCTCTGGCTGATGATATTGAGCTCCACCTTCTTTTCCCATAGATGTAGTCCTGTGTATTCCAAATGTAAGTAGTCTTCTTTTATTTTTGTTGGTCTAAACTAAATTGTTGGTCTTGCAAAATTCTGTCATGTGATAGCCAACGTTGTTTCTATCACCAACTGCTAATCCTTCCTCTTTGTTTCCAAATTTCACATTCTATTCACTAGTAATTATCAATGCATCTTAAATGCTTATATGATCCATTTCAGATCAAACAAGCAGTCAAGATGTTGGTAGAGTTCTTCAATTTCATCATCACTTGTTCTCCAAAAGAGTAAAAAGATAACCTACTGCAATGGTTTTCTTTATAGAAAACTTCAGTTCTGCAATAGCAAAAAGACAAACTATCCCCATAAAAGAACTTCAGGCAGCCAACAAATACACTATTATATGCTTGCAATCATTAGCTATTGTTATTGTAAGGTACGTTTGAGTCAGTTCCAATTCATACGGACCATATGTACAGCATAATGAAACATTGCTTGTTGCTGTACCATCATAATTATTGCTATATCTTAGCTCAT